TAAATGAGTAAAGAATCAAACTCTAAAGAGTTGAGCTACACAATGTAAACACGCTAATTCTCTAATCTCAAAGATCATTGTAATTGGCTTGCTTTTAAAATTAAAATAAAGGCTTGTTAGTTGCTTTCCACCCAGCATTCCTTCAAAGTTCAATACAATCAAGAGATAGTTTCCTTAATAACTTATACCTCCTCTTTGTCTTAAAAAAAACAAAACAAAACAAAACAAAACCAAAACAAGCCAAAAGAGAGGCAGGGAAATAACTGAAAGTTAAGTAAAGTCCACAGGCAAACTTTTCTCCACCACCAAAGCAAGAGAAGCGGTAAAACCTGTTTTACAAGTCTGAGACAAGTCTCTACATCAGGCAAGCACTGGACTGATATGTTTCATTCTTTCTTAGCTGAACACACATTTTCCTGCCTCACAAAAATAATGATGGGTGTAGTATTAAGAGAGGTGTTCCAAATATACCCTGATGGGTAACAGTGCAAAGAGGTAACTGAGTAGCTGTTTTAAGCTGCAGGTTTTTTCTTGATACTTTAAGAATTGGTATAAATTGTTGAATGGAAAGGTCTTACATATGCTAATGAAAAAAATAATAAAATTCCAAACTGTTAATCATCTTTCTCATCATTTTCTGATAATTGTCTAGGCTTCCTTTTATTTTTTATTTTCTATGTTTGCTTCTTGGATTACAATGATTTCTTAAACTAAACAATGATTTTTTAAATCAACTAACAATGATTTTAAAAACTAAAACATAAATAATTATGTCTCAAAATACAAAATTCAGCTTTGCATTATTTTGGAACTCTTCTTTTGATTACAATCAGCTTTCACCTAAGATTTCACATATATCTCAAAATTAACAATCAAAGTAATTAGATGAATTTTAAAGAGACTATGACAAATTAACTTTTCTGTGTCTGATATGAAACACCATGGTAGCTAACCATGTTTGACATTCAACTACAGTAAATATGGTTGTCTGTTCATCTAACAAATCTCAGAAGAGCCACAAAATTTTATTACACAGAACCCTTCACAGGATCCTTTCTGCTCTCAGAAGGATAATGTTCACTGACCCAAGGATATGTTAGATGCAGGAAAATCCAAGGATCATTGGTATCATTTCATGGAGTGAAACAAGAGAAGGTTTATTCTAATTTCTATTCCCCACAGAATGACATTCTTCTGATTCTTCTTTCTAAGAATAGTTTTTAATCAAACACATTTTTGGTCTTAAATAAATTCAATGTAAATGAGAAAACTTATTTCAAAATTATTTTTAAAAATTATCACAACATAGTATGATACCTCACCATAAAGAGAGAAGAAAAAAGAATCTAGGTCGGGCCTTCACTATCCTTTCACCTTTCCTTATCACCCACCTCTGGCATACAAGGAAAACAGTAATTGAAGGTACAGGTTTAATTCAGTCATTTCTCAATTATCCATACAAATGGGGTAATGGAAGAGAAATAGCAGTAACATAGATAATTCAGAACAGTAAGATCATAAGTTCAGACCTGCAAGGTACCTGAGAGGTCATTTAGTCCCACATCCCATATTTATCCCACATTTTACAGATGATGAAATGGTTTAAGTATATGATAAGTAAACAGACAGGTTAAGTAACTTGCCCAGGGTCACACAGCTAGTATCAGAGGCATTACTTGAACCCACCTCCTCTGATTCCCAATCCAGAGCCTATTCCATTATATATCAAGCTGCCTAGTAAGCATTTGGAAAAGTGTACTTCAAATAACAATAAAGTTTCCTTTTTTAAAAAAAAAAGCTCCCTCTTTTAAAAATACCAGTATTCATCTTATATAATGCTATACTGAGAGAGAGGCGGTCTGGCTTAGTGATTAGAAGGCTATCTTTGGAAGTCAGAAGACCTGAGTTCCAAGTCCTTCTTCTGACACACATTGGCTGCATGACCCTGGACAAGTTTTTTATTTTTTCACTGCCCCTAGACAGCTTCCTAAGACTATAGGTTGGGGAATAATAACTGATCGATACTGTTAAAAGTAGTTTTCTCACTAGGGAATTCCTTGTACCAATACAATAGCAGGACTTGGGGGCAGGTAGGTGGTACAGTGGATGGAGCACCAGCCTTGGAGTCTGGAGGAGATGAGTTCAAATCCTACCTCAGATAGTTACTAGCTGTGTGACTCTAGGCAAATCATTTAACCCCATTTCCTCCAAAAAAGAAAAGAAAAAGAAAAGAAATAGCAGTACTGCCCCTCTCCCTCCAAATATTGCTACATGACTGTGAATCATGAAATACACACCACAATCTCTGAGCCACACGGTGGATATGAGGATAAATAGGGCATAGTATCATATTAATGGTGAATTGTGCACAAAAAAGCAAAAAAGTAAAATATAGCATCTCAGAAATGTATAAATGGTCAGTAATGAAGTAAGATGGAGGAATGGAAGCTGTCAGAATGCACTAGTAAAGAATGACAAGAGATCTAAGTAAGGGAAAGCTCCCAACAGGTTGGATGTATTCTTTATAGAGGACATGGACAAGAATTGCATTGGATTCAAAGTCATGAATGGGTTATAATGCATACAGTTGAAGAGTATGACACCATTGATGAGAACACAAATCCACCGAAATATCAACATTACTATAAACAAGATGGCAAACAGGATGACAAAAACTACTAAATAATCAAAAGGTGACTATTATCATAGTCCCTTTCCCTTCTACAACTTCATTCCAGAAAAAAAAAAAAGAATGACATGTAACTAGGCCAATAGGTAGAGAAAAAGCCACCCCTTCAAAAACATATGTATGTGTATGTGTACGTAGATATCTACACACACACACACACACACACACACACACACACACACACACACACACACACACACACGCGCGCGCGCGCGCGCGCGCGCGCGCCAGTAAAGGTAGAATGGAAATGACCAGACACGGATCCTATGAGCTCATTCCTCAAACCAGGTCCAAAGTTCAGGGTGATTTATCACTACCACCACAATCATTTGGGTGTACCTCAGTAAGAACAAAGTCAGGAATAACATAATATTTCAGCAGTCTCAAAACGCATCAGTAATTCTGTTAAAAACTAATCTATGTACAACCTCACTGTAGCAAAGACATAAACAAACAGCATTCTTCAGGAACAGAAACAATGATTTTTCCAACCTGTGAACACCTTACCACTAATAGGCTTGAGGTCAGCTTAATATTAAATTGAGGTTTTAGTAAGGGACCTTGATTTAATGGTTCCACAGTTAAAATTGACAGTATCTAAAATAAGACAGGATAGGTCTTTTTTAAAATGAATTAAAGTTTTGCAGATTCACATATAATCCCAAAAGGAGCAGGGGAAGTAGGGAAACAACACACCAGTTCAAATATCCTTTACATGTTTTTATTGGCAAAACACCAGTAGGTTTAGCTCAGTCTGCCAGCCTGCTGCAACAGGTGCATCTCTTAGTTAAAAACAAGATCTACTCTCTTCTTTTTGGAATAACAACTTAAAAAACAAACCTCAATTTGTCAGCACTAGGAGAAAAATTAAGCAACTTTTTTTTTTTTGGTGTAACCTACTTCACCTATCTGTATGTATTTCCGGTTTCTTGTCCAAGGTTATAGGAGCCTCTTATGGCAGTTTACCAAAATAGCTGTATCCAATTTTTCTGGCCTGTTGAAAAGGAAGTTGAGGTAAGAAAGGAGGAGAGCAGCTCATCAGGTTCGGAAAGGTATTAGCAAAAACAAATGGTGGGTCAGATAGCTCAAATGAGAATCCATCACAAGAGGAAATTACCCTCCCATATAAAATGGGAATGCTTTTCTAAAACATGAGGAAACTTCTGTCATTTATTCTTTTCTACTACAAAAAGTCTAGTGCTCCATTTTCCCAAAGTCCCTTTAATCTCTAAGCCAAAAGAAATCCAAGACAATGGTTATCACGGATACAAAATGTTATATCTTCTCTCCAACTCATTACCAAAACGAAGTTCAGACAACCAAAGAAGCTAAAACTGGTATATAAAAATATACCACCTCCTTGCAATAGTCTTATGCCATCCAATTCAACAATTCACACAAAGTACTATGTGTAAGACACTGTACTAGTAGCTGAGGATAATAAAAGACAAAACCTAAACTCTTCCTTCCAGGAGCTTCTATTTGGAGGAGCGGGGGAATGGATGGGGTTATTTTACTTCCATCCGGGTAGCAGGTACATTATATAAAAATATGTGGCACGGGAGCCCATGTACAGAGAGGCCTGAACGAATGGGAAAACATGCGTAGGTAAGTGTATGAGAATGGAAGTGGAGAAGAGGGACAACATTTTTTTTTCAGGTCTAAGCTGGTTTTTGCAATAGAACAGTCAGAACAGTGCAATCTTCTGGGTGGACAGTGATAGTAGGCCATCTTCTTCGAAAAGGGTAAAAACCACAGCCTCCCGAAGAAATCCAAATACTCTCCACTCACTCTGCACAATCAACACCAACATCCACTTTTCCCCCATTTGCAACTTTTCCCCCAGCCAACAACATCCCCACACTAAGCCCTTTCCTGGTCCCTTCCTCACCTGCTATTTTACAACTAGGGGATCAACACCTCAATCCACACTCTGCCTTCTTTCCCCAGCAAACCTCATTCCCTGAAAATACCTTTTGACCTGTCCTTTCCCTCCCGACTATGAGCCCCCTCCCTCGCAAAAAAAAAAAAGCCCGATAGCCCCAAACACTAACGCTGCGCAGTGAGATCCCCGCCTCTCCACCCACCCCAGGCCTCCCCACAGACCTAAGCACCGGCACAGATGAGTCACGGAGACCCAAATACACTAAACAATTTTTGCAGGGGCTGTGGGTAAGAGACCGGCAAAGCCACCCTGTTAACACGCGAGCCCAGACGTTCCTAGTCACGACAGTTTCCTGTGGCAGCTTTGCAAGCATTTGCAAGAGGGTAGGAGAAGCATGCAATGTGCATGGCTGGGGAAGCTCGTTACCTGATGCTTGAGAAGAAGAAACTTCCTCTTCGCCTGCGCTTTCCTCCTCGCCACAATTTTGCTTTTACACTGCCACACTCTCTCTTTCCTTCAATCCCCTTTAGCATCTAGTTTCTCCCAGTCCCTATCCTAGACGAGGACTACTGAAGCAGGTTTAATTCCTCGGTGTGTGGCTAGAACTAGAAATAGGGGCGGTTACAGCAGCAAGAGGAGGAGGAGGAGGAGTTGGTGCCAGTATGTAGCAAGTTTGGGTTGCCCCCAGTATGGCCGCTGCAGGAAAGTGGAGTAGAGAAAGCTCAGTGCAGCAGCAGCTCCAGCCAGAACCAGATTGCCTAGCGGTGAACAGCTCCAGGGGAAAGGGGAGGAGTAGAATGATGCTTTGCTTTGAGCTACTGGAGGGAGGGAACAGGAGCATTGCGCGAGCTCGCCCGCGCGCCCGCACGCGCGCGCACACACGTACAAAATGTGCTGTTGCTTTAAACCTAGACACATTTTAATGTCTTTTTTTAAAAAAATGGTATTTTATATAGTTTTTAAAGTTTGTATTTTTAAAGTAAAATTTAGATGATTTTTAAAAATAAATTTTGTCATCTTTTAGCTTCTTTAATTTGATGATTAACCAATAGTGATCTTTATGGCCAAGTATTCAATAAAAATTCAGCTTTAAAAAAAAAATACCCAGTGTGCGCACATGATATAGAGGAAAACTAGTCCCTCTATTAAGAAATTTGTTTTTTTCCTTTGGACTAGTTTGCTTGTAGTAAGCACTACATTTTCCAGTGCAACTGGTATTGCTGGGTGATAGTGTAGAGAGCCAGCCTCTTAGACCTTAACTTTACCTTCAAAACATCAGGACTGAAGCTGGGGATTTTTTCTACTGTCTCCTTCAACATCCTTCCCCAATTCCTATACCCCAATCTCTGATTTTTTTTTCTTCCAGGAATGATTATCTCTTGGGCCAATCTATACTTTCAATTGATCTAGTTTACCTCTTCCCAGAGGCTTAAATGGCCTTTAGCCTTAAATGGCCTTTACAGCTTCTTCAACACTCACATATCCTATCCCATAGCCACCTGAAGGCAAACGCTTGCTAAATAATTCCCAAGTAGGGCAGGGAAATTCCAATTTGTTCTCTTTATTTTTCTATGAGAGAGATACAAAGTTCACCTAATTGTCTACCTTCAGGGAATTTGCAGTCTTGTGTGGATATGTGATACAAAAACAGTAACTGTGGTATAAAATGATACATTAAAAGTGTATAAGATCAGTTGGGCCATTTCTAATGCTTGTTGTGCTTTTAGGCGACCACACACCACAACCTTTATCACCACAACCAGGGAGGGGCAAGGAAGGTCAAAGATATGACCATATTTAAAGAAAAAGAAGAGCTACATATCGAGCCACTGTCATGGGCCACACTAAACCACCTTGAAAGTCTAAAAATAAGCTAAACAAGGAGAAAAAACCCAAAAGTGTTAAAAAAAAAACCCACCTAAAATAAAACCTCCTAGTCAGGTTTAAAGATAGAATGCAGCAGGATTAATACATAGTCTGCAACCAACCAGCTGAAAATAGGATATAGGGACATAGGAAGAAAGAGACATGGAAAGCTACTAAATTTCTCTGCAATTTCAAAAGGTAATTTGAAAAAAAATTGTGCTACTATACATTCAAATTTCTCCAATAAACTTCGATCTGCCTCAAAAAGTGCAAAAGTGTCATAAAAATAATTCACATTTGCTAGGTCATTCTTCCTTCCTCAAAGAGTTCAGTACATAACTCACAATTTTTCTTTCTTCCCCAACTCCTGTCTTCATAGTAGAAGACTTCAACATACCTATCAATGCTCCCGCAAACACCCTAACCCCTCAGTTCCTCAGCCTACTCACTTCCTATGACCCACTCCTCCACTCTACCTCAGCCATATGCAAAGATTTTCATACCTTTGATCTTGACACATTCACAAATGCACCACCTCCAGGTTCAAGAATTCTGAAATCTTCTTACTTGGTCATAATCTATTGGCATTCCACCTCTCCCTCTGCCTTCCCTAACGAAACCTTTCTTTTTGTCCACCTTGTGACTTCCAATCCCTTAACCTCTCAGTATTTCCCCAGGCTCCTTCTTAGTCTTTTTGTGCTAGATCCTTAATGACCATAAGGTACACTGACAGCAATGAGGAAGTACCCCCCCCAATCAGGTCCAGAATAAAGTCACCAACAGGTTAAATTGGACCAGCCTTTGCCCATGCTAATGTCCACTTCAGTGGAGCCCACATTGCTGTCTACTCTGCTCTTACTAAGCTGATCCTGCTGTGCTACATGGACTTCATTGGGACTCTCTGTTAAAAGTCACTGAGAAGGCACTTTCAAAAGATAATGTTCAATCCTCCCCAGGGGCCCAGAGACCTTTCTGGAGTTGAGGATAAGGACAAATGTGTCATATTCACCCCAAATTAATTTGCTTCGGACTGGGTAGAGCTGTATCAGTTTAGAAAGTTTAAAAAGAGAGACAGCTTCTGCTCTCTTGTGAATTGTAATTTTCTATGCTAGAACTCTTCTAGTGAGAGGTGGGTAAGGGGCACCTGTGGAGTGGGCCCCAGTGTAGGTTCCAGAATAGGGGATCAACATGAGCACTTACTTGGAACAGGAGGGCATCCACATTCAGAAAGACATTGGGAGGTACTGCTAGGTGGCAAAACTGGGAGGTGATAGAGACAGGGAAGTGAGTTTTCAGGCCAGCAGTGCTAGCACCTGTGGCAGTCCTCAGGGTGTTAGTGGCAGTACCTACAAAGAGGCAGTGTTTGATACAGGAAGAAGGGGCATTGCAAAGACTTGTGGGTGGGTGGGGCGAGCACTTAGCCTAGAAGTGTGGAGGAGTAATTTTTTTTTAAAACATATTTTCACATTAGTGGTGTTGTAAGTAAGAATTAGAATCAATAGGAGGAACCACCAGAAAGAGGAAACAAAACACAACAGAAGAAAAAAAGCAGCAAATAGTATGCTTCCATCTGCATTCAAACTCCATAGTTCTTTCTTCTTTGTGAATAGCAGCTTTTCATCACGAGGCCTTTGAAGATGTCTTATATCTTTGTATTGTTGAGAAGGGTTAAGTCTATCAATATTAGTCATTGCACAACGTGGCTGTTACTGTGTACGCTGTTCTCCTGGTTCTGCTCACTTCACTAAGCATCAGACCATACAAGTCTTTCCAGGTTTTTCTGAAGTCTGCCTGCTCATCATTTCATATAGCACAGTAGTATTCCATTACATTCATATACCACAACTTGTTCAGCCATTTGCCAATTGATGGGCATCCTCTTAATTTCCAATTCTTTGCTACCACAAAAAGAGATGCTATAAATATTTTTGTACAATGTGCATCCTTTTCCCATTTTTGTGATTTCTTTGGGATACAGACCTGGAAGTGCTGTTGCTGGGTCAAATGGTATGCACATTTTTATAGACCTTTGGGCATAGTGGAAGGGTAATTCAGTAGAAGTGGGTGTGGGACCTAGCAGCAACAGGTAGTGGGATCAGGTTGTGAGATTTCTAATGATGAATGAAACCTCTCTACATTTAAGTTATATAAAGTATATAAATACAATTAACATATAATTCATGAGGTTTTTACCTTGAGGTTTGTTTCCATATTTTATTTTGCAGTTTTTCAGTTTTTATACTATATCTGGCGCATCATTTTCTTCCTTCCCCCCCCCTTTTTTTTCTGAGGAGGCTTTTGGGCTGTTAAGGGTATAGAAAGCAGTGACTCTGACACATTGCCAGTCACTTAACAATTCTTCCGGATGGATTTTTGTAAGGCAGTTCATTAAAGGGGCTTTTAGACTTCTGCTTTTGAGATTTGTCTAATTAGGATGTCCATTTCTTGTTTTGTTAGATTAGTTCTTTCATATGAAATCACTGATGGAATGAAAGGAATGAAGTCATCCCTTCCAGTTTCTCAAATTTATTAGCATAGAGCTATAAAATGGGAAAGTTTGATAATTGTCTATATTCTTTTGTCCTTATTGTCATTTCTCATTTCTTACCATAAATTTTGGTGATTTGGGTTTCTTTTTTCTTTTCTGGAATAATTACTTATCAGTGCTGAAGGAACTTCTTATAGGATATTTTGGAAGGTTTCATTAAGTATTAGAAATCTCACAACCTACCCTGAGCTCAAGGAACCTGAGGATCTCTTCACAGCAGTGACTCAATCTGAATCCTCCCTTGCACCACTAGAGACTGACTTGCTAACCTCTTCAAGGAAAAGAAGGACTGGGAAAGGGGTGTGGTCTATGTAGAAAACACAGCATAAATGGCACAGCCCAGGACCACAAGACAAGGGTAAAAAGAAGAAAAGGGTACAGGAAGCCCAAATGAGACAGGCAAATACATGCCTGATAGAGATTACTCTCAAAGGAGATCCTGGGCTAGCCAACCACCATATGCAAGGAGATGGAAAACACCTTAATAAAAGGATTTGTTCCGTAAAATTTGGATTCAGTCAAAAGGCTACGCCCAAGGATCTAGAATGCCACATGTGGCCTTGAGGCTGCAGGTTCTCCACTGAACAGGACCATCTTCGGCCATCTAGGCATCAACAGAAAGGAAGAGAGGCCAAAGAGTTTTGAGGGAAATAAGAGGCTAATAATTGGCTATATATGATGTCATGATACAATTTCAAAAGACTCATGATGGAAAATGCTAGAGAAAAAACTATGGAGTCCGAATACATTTTAAACACCACCCCCCAAGAAAAAATTTCATGGTAGAACAAACAAAAATATCTCCCAATTTAGAGAAGCAGTCTCCAAAGTGGGGGGGGGGTTTACCTCATAATGAAAACTTGCACTGAAGGGATGAGTGATTAACCAATAAAAGTGTGGGAAGATGAGTCACATCCCATATATCTTCCTTCCCCTTATTAGCTTAATATGAATTTGTTTCCAACGTAACTACTACCCCCTTGAACACTTTCCCATTACAACCCATCTCACAGCTGGTTTTCAGTGGATACACAATGTTTCTATCCCTTGAAGCTGTTTTAACTTATCCTAATCCAGATATATGCAGTAGTTGTACAGGAAAATTTTCATAACCACCACATCTCCAACTGCTGTATCTCCACACTGTGATGTTCTGGACTACAGTAGCCTGCTCTGTTCTTGGGCAATGATTAGTGAGTAAACCCCACCCCTTTCTCACACATACCCACTTTCATTTTCAGTGAGAAACAGTGAGTACCACACACATAAATATATTGCAATTATCTAATTTTCCTCTCAAACTCTCTTCCAAACTTCCCTATTACTATAGAGGGTACCACCATCCTCCAGCCACTGAGATTCTCAACTTACTCTTTAT